TGCTGCAAAAGCCCGGGCCTGTTAATAAATGAAACTAAAGTAATTCTAAGTAGCAATGTTTTGCGATTTCATTCCAAGGTTTTGCATAGTTCGAGGATGGGAAGGGCTCTCCATCATTCCCACCCCCTCCCCCTTCCCCCCCCAAATCCACCCCAGGAATCCGTTCTGGATAAGCCTGTGCGGTTAGGAGGCCCAGTGTTGGCCCATGTGTAGATTATGAGGATGTATTAAGGATAAGCATTTTATAAAAGCCGGTGGCAAAAATTCAAGACAAACTAAGGACCTCGTGTGGCTGTGCTAAACTTATGATTGAATTTGTTTGGCATCGAGTATTCCTTATCAAGCCTGTGTCGGCCTACGAATTACAGTTAAGTGCAAAAAATAACTTTTTCCCTCAAGCACGAGAAGACTTTTCCAAAGTATTTTATTGAATTTATGCATTTTTTTTAGATTCAAAGAAAGAACAATGACTCATCGGTGATGCAACTAAAAGAGGAATTTCGTAAATTCGAAGCACTTCAACTTGAACATGACACCCAAATAATCAAAATAGCCTGTGAAGCAGGCTTACGAATATCACCGGACCAGTGGTCATCGTTGCTGTACGGTGATCAACAACATCGATCTCGTATGCAAAGCATTCTCGATAAAGTTAGCTTTTAAAACTGACTAGTTTTTGCGATACATTTACTTCGCAAATGGTAATAAAGTGATAAATAACGGCCATTGGAAAGCCGAATCAGAAGTGAACGGTCCAAGTGGGGCGGCGGCCAAAGTGGGTTAAATTGATAAAAAATTTTTTTTGCTGCCGTTGATAGACCAAACTACAAGTATCGGAAAGTGTAGCATTACTGCTGGCAAAGTGCAGCGATATGAGAAAAGGGGAATGGAATAGTCGACTATGTTTATTTGATATTCTGCGAAGAAGCCAAATTTTACAATCTCATTTAAGTTAACCGGTATTTGCATTGGGTAACGTCTGTGTTTCATCCCTGAACTGTAAACACAGACGATTAAAATGGTGCGAAATGGGGTGGGAATCATCAGTACAGTGCTCCATTTCGTTATGTAATTGGGCACATGTTAGGTAGTTTAGAAGATAATTTTGAAGTAACGGACAGTTTGAATCGTGAAAAATACGGAATGGCCGAAATTACGTTGCGCAAGTGATAAGGGCCAGTTTTTTTGCTGTGCGTCCTTGGCATTCCAGTTGCACCCGCAACTCTGAACTTCTGTAGTTGGAGGGATTTTTATATGCATATTGTTGATGTAAATGTACAGTCGAAATTATTTATGTACATTTTG